AGTAACCAGTTGTGTCAGACCATATGCCAAGGCAAAATCATGAACAGATCTCCCCGCATGATCGGTTAAACGTGAACCGAGCCATTCGGCGTGATGGGCGTTAAAGTCGCCGAGGATCACGATCTCTGCGGAGGGGATCTGCTGTAGCAACGAATCTGCAGCCATTTGGACGTGGTCGAAGAGTCGGTCTGTTTCGGCATTACCGCTATGAGACCTATAGAGGCACCCATAGATGCGCGGATGGTCGTCGCTGTGTACGCGTAGCCAAAGGATGGACAGGTCCGAACCTTCAAGTCTGCCGAGGCGTCGAGAACAGATGTCCTCTCTGACGTAAACGCAAACTCCAGCCCGAGGCACAAAGGAGTGTTCCAGTTTGTACCCCGGGCAGGAGAGATACGAGACATCAGCCGGAGAGGACACCTGCGTCTCGGTCAGAAAGAGCAGAGCCGGCCTCGTCGTCTTGAGATGGTAATGGACGGCGTTTAGGTTAGAGTAACCCCTGATATTGCAGAAATTCACGGATAGCGTGGTAGGGGTCGCCTTGGTCTTGTTACTCCGTTTGCCCCGAGCAGTTTTAGTCTTGAGCGGAATTTTGCCCCCCCCCCAGAATACGCGGGGCAGCCTGAGCACCCACGCTCAGAAGTGGAGAAACATGGTCGTGGATGCTCAGCGAGGGATTCTCCAGAGGTGCTGGTACCCTCCTGGGGTAGTCTATCATTTAATTCCGCTACCATGTTGATGGGGGGGGGGGATTTGGGCCTCCGGCCACCTGCACTCACCAGACGAAACGCGGAAGCAGAGCTTCCACTTCATGCCGGTATTCTGTGAGGTCGTGGTACCACCCCGGTTTGAGCCGGCCCATACGTGCGACAGCAAAGCTGCCGCGTGGCTCTACCACTGTTAATACAACTAATCTTTGTGAATACAACTATAGGCAATGCATTTAAGGTTGAAGGTGAATTTACATTAATGTATATTTATTTCAACTAGAACTACGTCAAAATAATTAGCGACATATTTAGAGAACTTTGGCATTGGACTGTGTATCTAGTTTTTTATTAGTGATCGATATTAGTAAGCGATAAAAATTGGTGTACTTATGAATATACTTACGAATGAAAAGACAAGCCTAGCCTGGGCTGACGCATCAACGTCCCGGGATATAAACACCAGCTCTCTAAAAAAAATGTATAATTCCGCCTCCAGGTCCTTCAAAAGAGTCATTGCCAAGGCAAAGTCAGAGCAAATAGGCAGTATTGGCGAGAAACTAGTTCGCCTTTCTTCTGGAAACCGTGCATTCTGGTCTCTCGCCAAGGCTGGCCAGGGCAATTTCTGTCAGCCATTTCTTCCATCTCTGCACAGGGAGGACGACTCAGCGGCCCATACCGCAAAGGAGAAAGCCGATCTGCTAGGCTCTTTATTTGCGTCCAACTCGACTCTCGATGACAGGGGGAGTACGTCGCCGACCATCCTGCGGTGTGAGTGCTCCATGCCGGAAGTGCAGTTCACACAGCGCTCGGTTCGCAAAGCACTCATCTCCGTGGACATCCACAAGTCGAATGGGCCTAACGGAATCCCCCCAATTGTACTGAGGACATGTGCTCTAGAGTCGGTACCGGTTTTAACGCGTCTTTTCCGATACTCCTATTCTCTAGGCGTAGTCCCAAAATATTGAAAGACGGCTTTCGTCAACCCAACACCGAAAAAAGGTGACTGCTCAGCGTCCAACTACCGGCCTATTGCCATCACCTCCTTGTTCTCCAAAACAATGGAGTCCGTTGTCAACTGCCAGCTCATGAGGTACTTTGAGGATCACCAGCTGATTAGTGATCGCCAATATTTACGTCGTGGTCGATCTGCTGGTGATCTTCTGGTCTACCTAACTCATAGATGGGCGGAAGCAGTAGAGTCCAAGGCAAGGGGGAGGCATTGGCCGTTAGTTTGGACATTGTGAAGGCCTTCGATCGGGTTTGGCACAAAGCGCTTCTTTCGAAGCTCGCTTCCTATGGACTTCCCGAGAAATTGTGCGATTGGATCACCAGCTTTCTTGCAGATCGGAGCATCAAGGTCGTTGTAGATGGTGCAAGCTCCGATTACAAGCCTATTAATGCTGGTGTTCAACAAGGCTGCGTGCTATCGCCAACGCTGTTTCTTCTGCATATCAATGATATGTTGCAAACATACATTGCTATGCAGATGACGGCACTGGTGATGCTCTGTACACTGGCCGTGCCAATATTTTCGGGAAATGGTCTACGAGTAACGGGACAAACTTGTGTCTGAAGTTGGGTCTTTGCTGAACAGAGTCTCGGATTGGGGGCGACTAAATCTAGTCCAGTTTAACCCTCAGAAGACACAAGTTTGCGCGTTAACCGCTAAAAAGAACCCCTTTGTCGTATCTCCTCAGTTTCAAGGCACTCCCCTTGTTGCCTCCGCCAGTATCGGAATCCTCGGCGTCGACATATCGAGTGGCGTGCAGTTTCGTGTTCACTTGGAAGAGAAGGCCAAATTGGCTTCTAAAAAGCTCGGCGTGCTCAGCAGAGTGGGACAGTATTTCATGCCGGCAACTTTACAAGTTTTTGCGAAACAAACAAAACTGAGCTAAAACACTAATACGAAATTCGAACGTGGTTTTCCCACCTTCGAATTTCGTCCAGTCTTTCTCAGGTACTAAAGCTTAGAGAATTAATATAAAGGAAAGAAAATCAGCTACATACTATAATGCAAAAGGGAGATAAAACAATTAGAGCATCGGCAACATTTTGGTCGGCAAATATCCAAACGATCACGCACGATAGAATCGCTAGTATTTTTTATCACACTGTGCGGCCAACTAATATCAAATTTTCCGCCAGACTCCACTAGATATTTTTAGCACTTAGATATTAAAAAAAAGCGTTATAGACCCTAGAAATGCACTAGCAACCACTGAGACAGAATTGCACTGGCACTGTATATGGGGGCCCCATTGAAGCTTATTAGAAGAGACCTCTCCCACTTAACGTTTAGCTTCTGTGTGCTTCTAATCGTTCAGTGATTGCTGCCAGTTTTCAGCCTTGCGATCACTGAGACATCATTGAACAGTTGCCTTCTACTCGTCATAATAAAGTCAATCTCATTTTCTGTCAAACTATCGGGACTTGAACAGGTCCACTTTCTATGGGGGCGCTTCTGAAAGAAAGAGTTCATCATAAAGAGTCCCTCTTTCTCCATGAAGTCGGCCAACTGCTGACCCCTTGTTTTCCGTTGCCCTTTCCTCTCCCGCACCCTGCATCAGAGCGAGGCCCCCGTGGACTCGAGCGCTTACACAAATTTGTTACCTACGTGACCCCAGCAGCGGGAATATAAGAAGAGCTCCCGGCGGGATTTATTCATTCGCGGCAGCTCAACTCTCAAGATAAGAAGCGGCAAGCAAGAAGACCCCTCAAGCTCCCTGGGCTATAGAATAGTCATAGAATATAAGACTGCCGCAATTTTGTAAATAGTGCAATAAATTTGTGTTAGTTTTTGTATATGCTTTAATTTAGCTCCGTCCCCAGTAAAATAAATTAGCATTCAATTTCTATTAAATATTTACTCAGATAGATATCACAGTAGTATTTAATTAGTTCAGTTTCTTCTTTCTCCGTGATTAAAAATACAGTCCACATTGCTCTCATCCCTTACAACCATATAGTGGGTTTTGGAGGAATGCATCACTCTAGAAATATCCTCATGCATTTCCTCCATCACCTCACCGAGATGTTGCGTAAACCTGTACGACCTTCAGCGAATACCGTTTGGTGATTCCGAGTACAATTTACGCAGCCCTCGTCAACACACTCCCAATCTTTACAACGTTGTTAACTTGCGGACGAGAAATCCAACTCCTCCTTGGACATATGGTCGCCCTCCCGGTTATAGAACAAGTTGCCCGATCCGAGAATCACCATGTCCTTCCCCTCGCTTTGGAACTCGGATAATCCTATAATATTTCAGCGCAACTTATCTATCTCTTCTTAAAGCTCCAGGATCTTCTCGTCAGTCCTCAGGGTGCCTGCGTTGAATTTTGCCAGGCCGAGTCGTTTTAAGATTTAACATCCACCGGAGATTCTTAACACCCCCTGCTCTGCCGTTACCATGGTCGTCACCGTAGCCAGGAATAGCGGGGCCGCCGGGAACCGGGGCCGTCTATTGGTGTTGTTGCTCATGGGAGGTATATTGCCATAGTTGCCATGCTTGGGGAGTTGGTTGGCAACCGCAGTGTTATGTTGTACAGTTTTTATTTTCATGAGGATGCTGCTGCCCATTTCATGCCTGTTTACCTCTGTCGCCTTTTCGACACCCACGGTAAGATATGGGTTCATGGATATTCTTAACCGCCACTACAAAGCGTCTTGTTACTTGATACTGGCGAAAGCATAGTCGTAAGAGTTTATTACCAACGAAAGAAAAAAGAAAATATACAATGCCAACCAATGACATCGTAGACCGTAGATAGAGAAACCTATAGACAAATTGACGCCTTCTTTCGCATTCGCACACGAAAAAGATAGATTTATGCATACGTCTTGCATAGAAATGAGATAGAGCGGTGTGATTGTTTGTCCCTTTCTCCGTGCCGGTTTTTTTGTTTAGCAAACTCTACAGTTTGCTAAACAACTTTAACAGCGTAGCGATTTAAGGAGTTTAGAAGTTGGTTTAAGTGAGAAAAGTGTTTTGTGACCTTAAGATTGGTGAATCTTGTTCAGTTCAGTTGTTTGAACAATTAAAATTTTTATCTAAATGTGTTTAAAAGTCGTAAAGATTATTGTATAACCTAAAAATTCGTTATCTTCCTTTATCATTTGAGGCCACGCCGATCATTAGTCTATAGGTTTCTCTGTCTACGTCGTAGACAGTCTCTGTCTACGAATGACATTAAATGTCATAATAAGTAGTGTCTATCTCCGATAGGAGTAATAGTGTTCTGTGGTGTCTATGGCCACCACCAAGTAAACAATATTATTTAGAACTGCAAAATGGGATCAAAAAACCCCAATAATAATTACGGAACATGCCGGTTTTGTTTAGCAAAAGGGCAGCATCAAGATATTTTTAAAGAATACTACTGGAACGGTGCGAAGGAAGTTTATTTGGATATTATTATGGAGTGCTTCAATATTTTTGTAAGTTAAATTTTGATTTGAGATTTCTCAAATAATTTGTAAAATCGAAAATAATTCTTTTTAGTAGGATGAGTACCGCCTTCCTATCTATTTTTATGATAAAGCATCAGCAACCTACTGTTGTTTTCGGATTTGAAGGACAAGGAGAGAGAAAAATCAAAGATTATTCAGACCGAAGTTCTATCCACAAAATTATAAAGTGTCAAGCGTGAGGACACAAAGCCGAGCCTACATCTGTCATGACTATTTTTTGTCCAGACAGGACTTAGGTCATTTAAGCTTTAAATCTCTTTATTTCTTTATTCACGCAAAAACCATTGAAGTAATATGTACTTTGTACTCGGATAGATGCCAGGAGTTGATTGTTTGTAACATACATTAGACTCTAAAGGCTAAGGTGTATCTGACAGGAAGAAGAAAAAACTTAATATTTTAGCCATTCTAATACATTTTATTGACTGAATTTTTTGCTACTATTTTTAAACTTATTTTTGGGAAAATAATGTAAATTTGTCTCTTGGTATGACACTCTTAAGCTCCTGTAAATGATCATACTAGGTTCTTGATATTGATTGTCTTCCTACTCAGCCTTCCCCTCTGCCTTCCTACTGGCTACTGAAACGGCAATCTTAATTCAAAGCTTATTTCTTTTTCTTTGCCAATTGTATGGATTTCCTTTTGCGCTCTTACTTTCGATTTTTTCGCCATTTCTTACAATGTCTCTTTCGGATGTCACTCCAAATTTTCTAGCGATAATGATTTAAATTTGTTATGTCTGAGAGGGCGACAAAAGAAAAATCAGTGACGTCTTATGAAGTCCTAAGAAAAATCAGAACCAATATTAACAGCAACAACAGTAATAATATTATGCACTTCATGTATAGGTTCAGGTATACTGTTGTCAGCATAGCAAATTCGGGCTTTAAATTTTCATATTGAAGTTCTTGCTCCAAACTATCGCCAAAAGGTCCACCTCTATAGCTATTTGCAATGCAGGTTGAGTTTGAGTGTTATATTTAGTACCTGGATGACCGAGCTTTACTCGGTATTTTTTTTTGGAAATGGTGTGTTTTGGAAATTATATTTAGAAACAAATTACATACTAATGAAACATGAATAATGTTTTTTGATTTTATTGACATAATAGAAAAAAACTGAACTGGTTATTTGAATAAAAAAACATGAGTGCAATTAGTTTAATTTAAATTTTCGTATTTTTAAAAAAATACTAAAAAAAGGACTCGAAATAATAGATTTTCTCACTAAAGAAGGGAATTTGAAAAAAAAGGGATAGTTGGACCGTAGACATGTTACTAGTAATATCTGCATTTACTAATAACAACTAATCTTGGTCCTGGATTATTAATTGGGTACTTTAGAGGTGCTTGCTATGTCAACATAGGTATTTATCTAAAAACAAGAGTTAAATTAAATATAATGAAATACCGCGTAAATTACCAAAAATAGTAAAACCCCATTATATCAAGAACGCATTACTTACTACATTTTACAGTTCAATGAGATAGAATCATTAAATAATTGAAAGAATTATGGTATGAGTGTGAGGGTGGTAAACACCATTCATGCATAAAATACTGGTAAAGATATATTAAAAACAACATAAACATACTAACATGGTAAATTTTCTATACATGGTAGAGCCATGCTGCAGTTATATTGGAAGTATAGTTGTAGCACAAATGGGTCGGCTCGACTGGGGAAGGACCAAGCTCTCACAGAATACCAGCGTGAAATAGTAGCTTAATTCTGCTGTGTTTCGTATGGTGAGTGTAGAGAACCGGAGACCCTTTTTACTGGAAACGAGACATTCCATCTTAGTCCTCACGGGTGAGAACTCATCTGCATTTTGATTTGTAATCGAGGATAGATGCAGATGTCTATGGTCCACAGCAACCATCACGTGGACTGTGTGCTCGTGCTCCCTATAAAAAAAATATTCGTCTTTAAATAATTATTTAAGTACGCACGCATTTGTCGTGTAGTTTCTTCTCCTTTTATTTGGTAAATATGCAGAATTACATTCACCTTTGGACATGAGGCAAAATGAGGTTTCTTATTCTCTAATTCAATTTGAGTGAAATGTGGTATAAGCAAATCAGCTCAAATAATCTATTGCTGTGATATTTCACTTTTGCTGGTGTGCAGTTTTTACAAATTGCTCTTCGGCGTTCTTGCACGCTCACTGATGATATCTTTTTTTGAAATGATCATAATGAAAATTATTTTATTTTAGCTATCCAATAACACAGACGTAAGCAAACTTATCTGCTTGCTATGTGTGAATCGTTTGAGGGATGCCAACAGCTTCCGCTTGATGGTGGTGAACTCAGAGCAGCAGTTGTTAAAAACTATCACTGACAAAGAGACTGTTTTTGTTAATGGTAATTATGATATAATATATAGTTTATAGATAGTGCAGGTTGACCGTAAATAGGATGTTTTCTTCTCCTCCAAGCATGTGGTATTTCAACACTTAAAATGCAATTAACAATTTTATTGGTGTCAGTGGCAATCGAACCCACATCCAAATTACTCGCATACTGTGAAATGTATGGCAAGAACTTATCTTCTGAACTACCAAGGCTTTATTATTATGTACTCTAATTATTAAACATATACAATAAAATATCTTCTTTCAAACATAAATAGTTGTTAAAGTTAATTAAAGGTTAAAGTTACAATCTATATATGTCCCACTGCTGGGCCCAGGTCTCCTCTCACATCTGAGAAGGTATATAATGCATGTTGGCGAACTTCACATGTCCTCGAAATATTTTTTTCTTATTTCTCAGACATATAGGTTTCCCCAAGATGTTTGCCTTCACCTCCGAGCACATGATAAATCAGAATTTAAAATTTCAATACACAATTAAGTTAGTGCTAGTGGGGATCTGACCCGGGTTGCTCAAGTACTGTAAAATTTACAGCGAGCGCTAATCATCTGAGCTACCATGGCTCTCTAAATACTTATTAATATAAACATAATTGTCATGTTACATTTAATGGTGTCGCTATCCTATATTATTATGTTGTTAAGAATTTAGGTATCCTTTTGGATACCAGCCTTTCTTGAACTCTTTAAGTTCAACAGAAAGCAATAAAATGTTTGTACCATATGCTTACTCCAGGAGCTTAACTACTTTATTTCTACTAAAATTACTCTTGTCTAATCTTTACTACTCAATATCGCAGACTACGCTGACATATTTATTACCTTGATATCATCGAGGATCAATTAAACGAACTTGAGCGACTCCGAAATATCTGTATATGGTTCATATTTGGACTTCGTAAATATGTCTATGTCTTAATTTAATGCTCTTAATCCTTATAGTTCAAGAAACAAGTTAACTCTAAACCCTCCTATTATTCTTATCATTTATGGGCACAGGTCTAATGCCCAATTTGTTTGTCTTTTAGTGCATAAGCTTTGATCTTTGATTATTACAGTGCACTCTAACTTATTGTTACTACTCCTTTTCTATTATTTTTAATTTTTTGTTATAGAACATTTTCTGGAAGTTTTCATTGCTCCCTAGTTTTGCTAACCTAACAGGTTTCTTAGATATTATTAAGGTTTACATTTTATTAGAGAGTTAGGTAAATAGTTTTAAGTTTTACTAACATTAGTTTTAAGATTTGTATTGTTACTAACACTCTATGATCCTTGTGGTCGAAATAAACGACTTTTATTTTATTTATTTATGCTTCCAAGTACCCTCAAGTGGCCATGTATTGGATTCTGCTGGGGATGTCAAACAGGAGACTCAAATTGAGGTGAAAGAGGAACTTCTGGATGATGAGATACCTCAAGCTATGGACTCTGATTCTGATTTCACACTGGACAACAATGAAATTTATGGTAAGTTTTTTTAGCTAATCATTATTTAACAATTTAACAATATATAATAAAAAGTACAATGGTATTGTACTTTTTATTAACATAAATTATTGCTGTATTGTTGCATTGAAATAATATTTACTACGTATTAGGTTAGACCCGCGAATAAAATCTGCACATAGTAATTTCTTATGGCACAGATTAAGTAAGTTTTAGCCCTTGGACTCTAATAATGCATATTGCAAATAACCATTCTTGTTGTCTTTCCATAGTATGTTTCTAGGGCAGGCGGAAAAACGTACATTGACCTATATTATATTATACATTGACCTTAAGTATTATGTTAGCATCGAAACAAAACGACAGGTATTGCTTCCATACATTTCTTTGTATATTACATATCGTTATGCGCTAAGCGTGTCACATGGTTCAGGGTAAGTTGAAGTAAGCGGTCATTCAGAGATAACAAACTTGTTTCGACACGATTCGCGGTCTCGAGTTGTGCGTATTTGCGAGAGCGGTCGAAACAGGACTCATTTCTCATTATGTTGTGGATGTAGATAGTTTGAGATTTAAAATTTTCGATTATAGTTGTTGTTTTCATTTTTATTAGGTTTGTTTTGTTTGTTGTATTGTTACATTTTATATTAAAGTTTTTGTTATTATTTTGTGACGTTTTGTATATTATCACCGGTATGGAATCTGCTCAATCGACATCAAAATCTCATAAAGATTTTACATCACCACCGCAGAAGGGGAAAGTGTCGCATATTTCGGACACCAAAAAAATAATGCTTAGTATTGAAAGTTCAGTTCAAGTTCACTGCCAAGAAGTGGTTATGTTTTGTACAACTAACTTTTTTTCTGGTTGCTGCGGCCCATAGACATCTACATCTATCCTGGACCTACACCTACTTACCTACTTATTTAAGTACTTAAATACTATTAACGTAATAATGAAAATTGTAATAATTCTTATGATTTATAAATAACAAATTTAAATTAATGTTAATTTGCTTTTTAATTCATACAAGTACAGGATAATCTTCTTTCTTCATAATATACAAGGATAAAAAATAAAATCTAAAAAAAGGTTGGCTACCCCGATGATATCGTCAAAGGTTCAATGTATGTTTTTTCCGACTGCCCTAGAAACATACTATAGTATATAGTACATATAATTTCAATGTATTTTTGTCTCATTTTACATAATTTTGATTTTATTTAGTATTTAAATTATTTTCTTTATTATATTTACATTATTTATATGTATAACAGAACGCGAGTAACCTGGGTTCGATCCCCGCCGGCACCAATGAAATTTTTAATTGCAATTTTAAGTGCTGATCCAGTAATAAGTGTGAGCAAACGAGCATGCACGTCACCTGATGGTGAGTGACTACCGCCGGCCATTAAGAACTGCAACACCAGGGGAATTGTAAGTGTGTTACAGAGCTTTTAAAAAAGAGAAGCTTTTTTCTGCTTTACTGTTATTATTACAGCCTAAAACTCCACCCCTGAACAATTAGTCTAACTCTGATAGATAGCCTCCTAGTAGGGATCTTTTACCCATGGTTACTTGGCAGATGGCGAATGTAGTTTTTTATTATTTAGTTGTCATAACGAAGATACTGCTACCCATCTCCTGGTTTTTTCCCCCTGTCTTCTCTTACTTTTTATAGCTTAAGCATGACAAACGAGCACACAGTCCACCTGATGGTAAGTGGATGTTGTGGCCCATATACATCTACTTCCATCCTCGACTACGATTGAAATGCAGTTGCGTTGTCACCCGTGAGGACTAGGGTGGATTGCCTCGTTTCCAGTTAAAAGGGGTCTCCGGTTCTCTACACTCTCACCATACAAAACACAGCAGCATTAAGCTGCTATTTTACTCTGGTATTCTGTGAGAGCGTGGTCCTTTCCCACTCGAGCCGACCCATTCGTGCTACAACTATACTACTAATATAGCTGCAGCATAGCTCTACCACCTAAAAGAGGTACAATACGGTAATATGATGATAATTACTTTAAATGCTTCCAACACCCCTTTCCTAACCCAAATAGGTATTTGATCTTTGTAATTTGAAATTTAATAATAAAAATGTTAACTTAGATACCTCAACGAAATATAATCATTCCGTATCTGATGAAGAAATGGTGGATGGCGAAGCGGCACTGTTAGCGCGGTTTCCGGTCCACACGTTAAAGTTGCCGACAAGGGAGTCCCTTCAACACACATGCCCGAATTTCTTTCGCCATCTTGAACTACTTAAAGGTATTTAGAAGTTGTTAGTAATATGATTTATGTCCTTTATGTTATTTTAGTTAGTTTACGATTTATGTTATTTATGTCAGCCTTCTTGGCATTGTAGGAAAACTGTATGCTAAGGTACTGATTTAAAGGGCCATGAAAGAAACTGATGGAAAAATTTGGGATGTGCAAGCGGGATTTAGAAAGGGAATGGGATGTACAGATCAAGTCTTTTCCATGCGCATGATCGCGGAGAAGTTTTTGGCCAAAAACCAAAAGGTTTTTTGTTCGTTCATGGACTTGGAAAAGGCCTATGACAGAGTGGATAGGGGTGTGCTATGGCAAACACTGAACTCATTTGGGTTGAGCGCTGGCTTGATACAGGCATTGGAGTCTCTTTATAGGGACTCTAGTGCTTGTGTTAGGATCAACGGGGTCTACTCGGACTGGTTTGACATCCATAAAGGTGTCAGACAGGGCTGTGTGGCTTCCCCGTGGCTGTTCAACCCATTTATGGACAGTTGTTTGCAAAATTTGAAAGTTGAAGAATGCGGATTAAGAATGGGTGAGTTAACCGTCAAATGCCTATTGTACGCCGATGATCAAGTTATCCTTGGGTCGTCGGCTGCCGAGTTGCAAATGATGGTTACATTAATGAACAGATCATTAAAAGAAAGGGGTATGAAAGTGAACGCAAGTAAGACGAAGGTTATGGTTTTTGAAAGAGAAGAAAGTAAAACGATTTGTGAAATAAGAATAGAAGAGGAGTTGATCGAGCAAGTAGATGAGTTTGTATATTTGGGCTGCGTATTTAGCAGGGATGGAAGATATGATAAGGATATAGAACGACGAGTGAATGCGGGAAATAGAGTAAATGGGGCCCTGCACTCTATTGTGAAGAGTCAAAATGTGTCAAAAAAGGCACGTATGGCAATTCACAATGCTGTGTTGGTCCCTACTTTAACGTATGGTAGTGAAAGTTGGGTGTGGCAGAAGAAGCACGAGAGTAGAATCAACGCAGTAGAAATGCGGTCGTTAAGGAGTATGTTAGGGCTGAATCTGAACGAAAGGGTAAGAAATTGTGTAATAAGAGAAGAGTGTGGTTTGCAAGATGATGTTGTGACCAGGATTAAGAAAGGAATTCTTCGGTGGTTTGGTAATGTGGAAAGAGTGACAAAGAAAATTTATGTTGCAGAAGTGAATGGCAGAGTCGGAAAGGGACGTCCTAGGCGAAAATTTATCGACCAAATTGGCGATTTATTGAAAACGGGCCAAATTAGGAGTACCCTTAACCGACGAGCATGTATGCGTAGGTGTATGGATGTGAAGGAGGCGAGAGAGGTGTGTCAGGATCGTGCCAAATCGAAGTCTGTAGTCTCTGCCTACCCCTCTGGGTGACAGACATGAGTGTTTATGTATATGTATGTATGTATGTATGATTTCAGCCACATTCCGGATTTCAGCCACAGCGAGCAGTCTCAATTGAGACTAAACATCCTACACAAGGACAGGATTATAGTGCTCATTTGTAGCAGGCACAGGTAACCTTTATTATATCACTATCTGATGGGACGGTAATCTAACACGAACGGGGAGAGATCAGGCGTAAGACCAACGGCTTTACGTGGTTGAAGGCACGGGGGTGAAACATCGCCAACTTCCTCACTATGAGTTGCGAAATTTCTCAGCAGTCGCACTTGTAACCACTACGCCAACGAGACACGATGCAGTGTCAAATGATTAATGATGTTTGGTAATGATTTCTTAAGTCGGAAGTCCGCAGTTTATGAACACGTACAGCCGCCTTCACTATTTCAGATTCTTTCCTGGGATGATTAGATTTTAACTTGTGATACTACAATTTAGTGTGACTGTAACTGCTGACCGTACGAGGACGCTCAAGATCGCTCAGCGATGGAGAGGGCTGTGCTCGGGGTTTGTCTGCGTGATGAACTTAGAAATGAGGATATCCGCAGTAGAACCAGAGTGACCGACGTAGCCCAACGGATTAGTAGGCTGAAGTGGCAATGGGCCAGCCATATTGCTCGAAGAACCGAAAACCGATAATGAAAAAAGGTTCTCGAGTGTTAGCCTCGTACCGGTAGACGAAGTGTATTCTGACCCCCTACTAGATGGAGTGACGACCTAGTTAGACACGCGGGAAGTCGATGGATGCAGGTGGCTCAGGACCGTGCTTTGTGGCGTTCCTTGGGGGAGGCCAATGATCAGCAGTGGACTTGTGAAGGGCTGTAATGACTACAATTTAGAATCAGAAAATCCAAAAAAAAAACGCTGTTAATTCATAGTTTTAAGTTATTACTTCTGTCAGCAGTCCTCAGTGACAACCAATTTTTTTTAATGATCAAATTGGCTATCAAGGAATAAATAAATTCGCTCCACTAAATGCTAGTAGCGGATGGCATTTTAAATAGGTACTATGTAATTTAAACATTACTTAAATTTTCAAACTTTAATTCCAAAAAATATCAAATAATGGTTCTCTTTCAGGCAAAATAATTTTACCAAGAATGATAGCAAAACTTCTAGAAGATTCAGACAAACAACAAACATCTTTAAGAAAAAGAAAGTTATACATAACCGAAAAGGTAGCGCACATTTTAAACGCTTCGACGCTTCTAGAAAATTCCAATGCAAGTCCTTTCAAAAGCAGGAACCGATCGGGATTCCCCTGCATTTACTGTCGCAGTATTTTTGATAATTTGGAGAAATTGCAGGAACACCAGGCTAAATCACACACGAAGTCTGAGATTAGAAAGATCTTGGGCACATATGGAGCAGAATGCTTTGTCGTTTACGTGGATGTTACGAATTTAATGTGTACAATATGTGACAGCAAAATGCAGAATTTAAACGAACTAAAAGATCATTTGATAAAAGTACACAAAAAGAAAATGCATACGGAGTTCACAGATAGAGTCATTCCGTTCAAACTATCAGAGGACAACATCTATGAGTGTCAGATATGCGGCTTCAAATTCGAAACCTTTGGCTCCATTGAACGCCATATGAACGTACACTACAGGAACTATGTCTGCGAGGAATGTGGCACGGGGTTTGTGACCAAATATCGTTTGAAAGTTCATACAAAAGCGATGCACGTTGGTGGCAATTTCCCTTGCGAGATCTGCAACAAAGTGTACAGCACTCAGCAAAAGCAGAAGAATCACGTCGACACTGTCCACAAGATGGTGAAGAGGTTCAAATGTACTCAGTGCCCGGAAAGGTTTTCCGAGTACTTCCGAAGACAGAAGCACTTAGTGGAGGTACACGGGGTGGCCCCCTTGCAGTACAAGTGTAACGTATGTGACAAATCCTTCGACAGGAGGTACACACTATCAAGACATATGAAGAGGGATCACTTAGAGGAGAGAGACTTTCAGTGCCACTTGTGCTCATATAAATGTTTTACAAACAACGAACTAAGGGTCCATATGGTGAAGCATAATGGTGAGAGAATCTACGAGTGCTCTGTTTGCAAGAAGTCTTACGCCAGGAAGAAGACCCTGAAGGAGCATATGCGGATTCATAATAATGACAGGAGGTTCGCTTGTGCGGTGTGCGGTCAGGCTTTTGTACAGAAGTGCAGCTTAAAAGGCCATATCAAAACACACCACATGGAATATAATTTACATTGACAGCATTCGTGTTTTTTTTTTCAAATATACTATAATTTCCTTTTGTATTGTGGAGGTGGATTACAAACATAAATGGCAAAATTACACATGCAGACCCGGAACAATCATTGTAAGCTACAAATACTTGTTTCGTGGGATTCGAACTAGCGGTCATCAGCGTCGCAGCTCAATGCTAAGTCTTGAGGATTTTCCTATTATTACATCTTAACCTCCAAAGGAATAGACAGAGTGTGATATTAGCAAACTTATAGAATACTATAATACATACATAATAGAACGGGGCGTGGGTGGAGACTGTGGAGCCACTAAAATGTCATTAACATGTCAATTTACACGTATAACTGTCAACACGAGATGTGTTTTGACGTTACAATCGTTTCCAATTTTCGCATGCAAATTATTTAGAAAATGCCAAATTGCACACTACTTGCAAATAAATATGTGTTATAATTTAAACAATTTTTATAACGATGCACATTAATCAAAAGTCTAAAATGTTTAAATTTACTCATTCTGTCAACACCGCGATTCGGGTAGTAGTGATAATAATACGACGTAATTGCTTAAATGTGTGCTTCCGGCGACGCCTAACCTCGTCATCTCTAACAGATACATATTGTGTATTATAGTATTATATAGTCAAACCAATGCATGCTCATTTTTTACTATGGTTTAAAAATGGATCTACATGTCAAAGTATTTTGTATATATTGTCAAGTCTGTTTTAACGTGTTCTTCGAGGATATACCCAAGCGATACAACCCAGAATAAATAGAATTTTTGATTTTACCCTTTTTAAAGCCGATTCACACTTCGACAAGTACAGTACCACGCCAGGCGTGCCATCGATTATTTTTTGGTGTGGCGTACGACACGCGAATCGTGTCATTTTAAAAATCGTTATAACTCTCAAATTGTTTTTGGAAAATTTATCTAGAACAAAATGTTATTTTGCAAGTAGTTCACGCTTACAGCTTCATTTCTGAATATTTTGAGAATTTTAAATTTTTAGAGGTTGACAACCTTTTTTAACTGGTAGATGGTACCCTTTTTACAGAATGGGATTTTTCAATCATGTTGTGGGAAAATACTCTAATAAGTAACAAATAATAGCACTCATTGCGATCGCTCACAAACTTAAGTTGTAAGCAAGTTTCTGGAGAGCAAGTCTCCTGTTAAAAAAAATGCGTTGTTTAATTTTGCTTAAAATGGTTGAACTGCGTCTTAGTACTGTCATATGGCCGAATGGACCTAAGAAGTACCATGTTCTCTTGTGATATGGTATAAGGTATATTTTTGCTTGAAACAGTTCGAACATAAAAAAAGTTCGCTAATAAAGCCTTTTGTTCACCGCTATTGTTTTTTCCTTTTGAAAACACTTGTTTTGCTGTTCTTACTAATTAGGCATTTTCAGAACGTTATTATTAGGTGAAAATTTAACTTAATAAAAATGAAGGTTTTTTCAGGGTAATTTACCTGTACCTATTTACATAAATGTTTTTTTATAAAAAAAAAATACAAAAGATTTGTAATCTCTGCATAAAAAGTCACTTATTCTCACATAAAAACAAGTATCCTTCCGTTTGCAATTGATGTTTGATGTCAGCTAAAGTTATTCAGGTCTAAACAAGTGAAAAAATCATAAAAAAGAACATTATGTTACATATGGCTGATGGCACAATAGGCGTGTCATCAGCTTCCATGGCGCTTGAAACTACAGGCGTATCACGAAATATTTGTTCGCCGCCACAGCTAAAAGTCGTCGAAAATTGGTGTCGCAACGAATCGGTTAACCATTTACTGTCAACTGCCCTGTAACTAAACTCGCTACTGTACTTGTCGAAGTGTAAATCGGCCCTGAGAATCTGGCATATGAATAAAGACATAATAATAAGAAAAGCCAAAATAAATGAGTGGGTCGCCGGATGGTTTCGATTCACGAATGGATCCGGCAGGTGGCGCTGTTGTATGAATACACCTGTGCAAAGAAAATAACAGCCTAACGCTGCTGTTTCATTTGGTAATTGTAGAGGTGTTCGTGGGCGGCGGTCGACACTTTCTAAATGACTATAACTAATTTAAAAAAAAAAAACAAAGACTTAACTGATAACAAAGAATTCTGTCTTATTCTTCAGAGGTGATACCGTATCTACATTTCGATTGCATATATATGATAGAGCTTGACGTGTCTATTGGCCAAATACAGTATCCACTACCATCAGATGGACTGTGTGCTCGTTTGTCTCACTTATTTTACTGTTAGGAAATATTCTTAACACTATTTAAATAAGTGAATGTTTCTTTAACGCTTTAGAAGTAAATGTAAAATATTTAAAAAAAAGAAGTATTCGCAGGGTCATAGGCTCAATAAAGTAATTGTTCAAAAAAAATTCAAACGTTTAATTCAAAATGTTTATTTTTATTTTTTGTAAAATATCAGTGCCATAAGCTTCTATTCCGTTCACATGTTACAGCCAATTTTCTTCCAGACGGTAAAAAAGGTCATCAATATATAGTAATGGTCACACATTTTAATCAAAAATGATTATATTTTACCAACAAAACATTACAATTAATACTTAAAATTTATTAAGTAAGTTGTGATGAATGAAAACAATTTTTCAGCAATTCTTGATAGCGCTTTTGCCCATAAACTATAACTGCTTCTGAAGATTGCCTCACTGTATACACTGCTACCGGGCGATGATAGAGATTTTTGTGGATTCTGTTAGTTTTGGATACTTCTGTGCTTTTGTTGACCACCACGTTGTAAGGGTCAAAGGTGGTGTCCAATCTAGGCGAGCCATTTTTAGATAAAAATCAAGTAAAAAAAAATCTTAAATCTCTCAATGCACACATCACAAAGTTTCTCTCCTCCAAATGCTTTTCTTGGTGCTCCCGCAACTGATACTTGTGCGGGACAAGTGAAAACAAATAGAATAATACATAAATAAGACAAACATTTTTATATTAATGGAATAAATATTATAGTTTAGAGTTTGTACTTAAATAGGATATAAGCGTTTATGTTGTGTTAATAAAGATTATAGTTTAAAGTTACACATAAAAGGGATATAAGCATTTTATGTTAACTAACTAATAGTGTAGAGCTTATATTTATATTAGTTGATCACTTTGTATAATATATATAACTAGCTTAAGGTAAATAATGTAACGTCGTCACTTGCTCTGTCGCGCCTCGCGCTGATTGGTCGACGCCGTTGTACGGTACGTACGCCGTATCAATCGACCCGGCCGAGGTAGTATAAAAGAGGGACGATTTTCGTCGTTCGACACAGTCGGCGGCCAGCTCCCTCAAGGAAAACATCGAATATAGAAGAAAGAAAAAAGTCTCAGTGGTTTTATTCTCCACCAACCCAGCACACAATTGTGCCTGTAAGGCACATTTAATGGTCCTTCGAGCCGGATATTGTGGAAAATAATTACCTGAAGACTTCAAATAGTGCTACAACGAGTTAAGAAGACTTCTCGGAAATAGTTTTTAAGACTCAAGATTATTCGAAGAAAAAGTCAGCTAACAGCATGGCCGTTACGCGTTCTGAGGGAAGGGGTAGCAAGCCGCCGTCGTCCAAGGCTACCACCTCGGTGACCGGTACCATCAGTGCGGAAGCCAGTACGGAATCGACAGCTACAGGGACGACCGCCACAGAGATTTCGGAGTATACAGACACCTCCGCGGCAACTGATCCATCCACCGTGACTTCCGCCACCGCAGCAACCACTTCGTCCGCCGCCACCTCAGCCGCAACCGCTACCCTCGCCGCGCACCCCGCCAGCACCGTCGCTCCTTCCGTAACACCATCCGCGGCGACGACGCTAACTGCGGGTGCGAAGGCCAAACAGCTGATGAAGCCGCCTGCTACTGTCACCAGAGCAACTCGCCGAGAAACAGAAACTAATACAGTTAAGCGAGCCATAAGAAGCACCGCCGGTCCATCGAAGCAAACCGGATTACAGGAACCCCGCCCGCCCAGTAGCTCAAGCTTGCAGAGGCGAAATAAGATTTGCTACGCCTTCAAGTGGAATTAGCCGCAGCACGTCTTGCTGCCTTGGAAAGGGAAGACTCAGAAGAGGAGGAGGAATTTGAAGATGACGCCTCCCTCTACTCAAAAGTCAATGCAAGAGAGGACGACTGGTTGGAAAATCAAGTGAATCGCCCGGTGTTAGCAATCACCAACGAACCTCACCATGCCATAGAAGAACCAACAACCGCCCACGCAGAAGAACCAAGGCAAGAAAAGCATGAAGAAACACATCAGTCACCCGAGGGAGGTCAAACTGACGTAGCCCTCCTAGCTGAAGCCATCACTCGGGCTGTCAGCGCCGCCCAACGACCTAAGTTCGTCGAGTTACCATTCTTCAGTGGGTCTCATCAGGAATGGCAACATTCAGCGCAGTTGAAAATACGAATCGACTCAGAAGAAACTTGAAAGGGAAGGCCAAGGAAGCAGTTGAAGGCCTAGTTATGACCAACGCACACCCGGCTGAAGTAATGAAGACTTTGGAGTCAAGATGTGGAAGACCAGAGTCAATAGCCATGCTGGAGATGGAGACGCTTAGAGGTCTGCCGCGCCTTACTGAGTCACCAGACATATGCATATTCGCCACCAAGGTCTCCAACGTAGTGGCGACACTGAAGACTGTGGGTTGTTTTAACTACATGTACAATCCTGAACTCGCGAAGACAATAGTAGACAAACTGACGCCAACTCTGCGTTATAGATACTACGACTTCTCAGCCATGCAGCCACGTGAAGACCCTTGTCTCGTCAAGATAGAGAAGTTTTTCAAAAGGGAAGCAGAATTGTGTGGACCCTACGCGCTGCCCGAACGGATGACACCGCCTACTACAGCCGCACCACAAAGGAAGACTTAAAGGATCAACAACGTGACTGAGAAAACATACATACCAAGGTGCGTCGTATGTGAAGATACGGGGCACACCAACGCCACAGAATGTGAACAATTCAAGAAGTTAG